CGATAACGCTCCGGCGTGCGGCACCGTGACGCGCCGTCGGACACGGCTTGGGGCAGCCGTCGCAGGCCGGAGAGCAGGGCACAGCTGCAGTGCCAGCTGTTGTTGGCCAGACCCAGGCGGCGCAGGGACGGCTGGAAGACGCCGGCGGGCAGCGCGGTCAGCGCGTTGAAGCCCAGCGAGACCTCCTGGATCCCCGCCGAGGCCCGGAGGAAGGAGCCGGGCAGCGCCCGCAGCCGGTTGCCCTCCAAGTCCAGGACGCGGAGCCGGGGGGCGTCCGCCAGGAAGCCATCGGGCAGCGTCTGCAGCCGGTTGCGGCCCAAGCGCAGCACCTCCAGGGCCGGGGGGCCGGTGGCCGCGCCGGAGACGGCCGCGATGCCGCAGCGCGCCAGGTGCAGCTCCCGCAGGCCCTGCACCTGCCCCAGCGCGGCCCAGGCCAGGAGCCCCACGGCCGAGCCGGTGAAGTTCAGGCAGCAGGCAGCGGGGGCGGGAGCTGCCCGGAAAGCCTCGTAGTCCAGAGCTGCGCCGCAGTCACAGGCGTCCTCCTCGGCCCCCAGCGCCAGGCCCACCGCGAGCAGCAGCCGGGCCCAGAGTGCGGCCCGCCGACCTGCAGCGCAGGGCAGGGGAGAAGTGGTGCCAACATCTCCCTGGCAAGGGGAGCCCGGCATGAGTGCTCACCCTTCCCGGCCCCGAATGCAGCTGGCTCTGGGGCGGATCCCTGCAGCGCGCAGGAACGACGTGGGGATATCGGTCTGCTCCCAGGCTGGGCCGGTCCTGCTCCGGCCCTCGCGCGGGAGAGGAAGCCAGGCTGGAACAATGGCCGGGGGCTGTTGTGGGCCGTGCCAGCCCAGGGGACCGCGGGCACGCCCCGGCGCAAACCGCACCCTTCCTGCCCGCCTGGCTCCTGCCGCAGGCCCGGGGGTCCCTGCTCAGCCCCTTGCCCGGCTGCTACCACGGAGGCAGGGCTGGGGGCTGGGGCACTGGGGCACCTCCCAAGCCAGGAGCTCGGCATCCCCCATTCGGGGGGCTCCAGCTGCCGGGGCAGGGGCAGGGGCAGCTCCAGGGCCCCGATCCCGCTCACCTGGCCCCATGCGCTGCATCTCCGCCTGCCCCAGCCTGGCACAGCCCGCCGGGCCCTGGACAGCCACTCCCCAGTGCTCGGTGCTGCGCACGGGCCGGCTCCGCGCAGGGGCTGCCCCCGCCCCGCCGCCTGCCTGGCCCTTTGCCCATCTGTCTCCTGCCGCCCCGCCTGGCTCTGGAGGTTCGCGTTGCATCCATTCGTCAGTGGAGTTGCCCGCCTGCCCGTCTGTCTGTCAGCCAGTCCACCTCTCCCCCGTGCGTCTGCCCGTCCACCCATCTATCGATTCAGCTTGACTCCATCGGTTTGTACCCCAGAGACTACCATGTATTTGCCTGTGTGTCTGCCAGTCCGTGTGTCCATCCATCTAGCCATCTCTCTACAGATTCACACCTTACAGGCTAGCCAAAGTACCTGTGTATGTATGTGTCTGTCTGTCTCTATATATTTGCACTTCATAGACTAGTCCAAGTATGTCTGTATGTATGTATTTGCCTGTCTGTCTTCCAGTCTGCCTGTCCTCCTGTCCACTTGTCCACCTATCTATCTATCTATCTAATATACCTTTACATTGGCAGCACTGTCTTCTTTCTTTCTTTCTTTCTTTCAATTTGCACCCTGTGGACTAGCCAAAGGGTGCATGTCTGCCGGTACGTATCTCAAGCTTTCCTAGGCTGCAGTTCAAGGCACTCCAGACTGAAAGACCCTCCCCCCGACCCCATCTCCCCTCAGCATATGCCACCCCCGTTGCTCTCACTGGTTTCTGCACCACAGGAAATGCTGGAGCTGTCTGTCCATCTGTGGGCAAGGGCTGTGCGAGCCCACACCAGGGCAGGGGATTTTTGCGCTCCAGCTTTCCATCTGCCATTGCTGGGTGGCTCATGAGAGGCACGTTGCACCCCTTGCCGTGCTAATGTGCCGTGCACCCTGCAGCACCCCTGAGAGGCCGTGCGGCACCCAAGCATCATGGGGCTGGAGACTCCTTCCCAGCTGATGCACCTTTAACCCTGGGGGTGGGTCAGGAATGGGCCGCTGGTTTCTAAATCTCTGTCCCTCTTCTCTCCTGACCCAATGGGGCAGCTCCTCCATCCCAAATTGGCTCATACTTTAGCCAGGCACATTTTCATTTGGGGCAGGGGGACCAGGTATCACATTGCTAGCAGGGGATATCGCATTGCCGGCCTGACCAGCCGCTGGCAGGATGCACTCGTGCCTCTACTCACACGACCCACTGATGCCCCACGGGTGCTCGTAGCCTGGGGGCAGCTGGACCTGATACCCCACGACTGCTCCTAGCCCGGGAGCAGCTCTGCCTAGCTTGCTCCTTTGCTTTCAGACTGAGATCGAAGTGGGTTTTGGCCCAGGTGGTTTTACTGACCTGGCAGGGGAGATCCCCTTCTTCTCGACCCTGCCAGAGTCCATAATGACTCCCAACCAGAGGATTTTGGCTACACAATTTATGGCGATGGGGGATTGCTCTTGGGGCCTCCCTCTAGCCTGCTCCTTCAGCCTTTTGGTTCGGGGCAAGAGAGACCGGGGGCGTCTGAACTCCAAGGCCTCTGGGCTTGGGGCCTCCACGTAGCACGCTGCCGTGGACGTGGGAGTATTTGCAGCCCCAGACTTGGGAAGAAGGAGACCTGCCGTGGCAGCGCCACACGCACTGGCGCTATTGAGCTCTGCTCCATCGCAATTTGGACCTGATTTGGCCTGGAAATGAAACTTTATTAAAAAAATAAATAAATCCTGAGGGCTCTGAAATGCCTGCTAAGCCTCCCCGTGATGCCAGGATGGAGCAAGAACGCAGGGCGGTGCCATCTGGGTGAGGAGGTCACGATGGTTCGTCACGCAAGAAGAAGTGTCATAGGGGCTGGGTTTTATCAGATGCAAGCAGGGCTATATATATATAGAAAGAGAGAGAGACTGAAGCCAGGCAAGCAATCCCCTGGAACAGCGGCGGTGCTTGGAAAGGGCCACAGAGGTGCTGATTTGCAGGGAGGGCTGGCACAGCCTGGCACAAGGGACACGATCCCTGGGAGATGTACGAGCAAATGGGCAAAGGAAGATTTTTTAATTATTATTATTGTTAAGGAAAATGTTTTGTGTCCCAAGTCAAATCAGCCAAACCAATTCCAAATCCACGTGAATCGCTCCAGAACCAGATGTGGCCCCGCTCCCGGCAAGCGTCCTGCACCCCCACCCGGGGCTCGGCAGGGCCAACGGGTGGCAAGTGTCCGGCTAGCGTGCAGCGCGGAGACCGGGGCGTACGATGGAAGAAGGGAGGGAGGTCCCTCGCTAGCCTGAGCTGAGTTGGCGAGACCCTCCCCGCCTTGCCCAGCTGCACGTCTGCTCGCCGCGCTCTCGGGACGGATCCTGCGTGGGTGGGTCATGACTCGCAGCCCTGCTAGCTAATGCACAGCGAGGATGTTGTCATCGTGCTTTCCAGCCGGCCTGCGCACTCAGCAAGGGCGTCGGAGCTGAATTGCTCCCGGGGCCATTCGTGTTCCCACGGCGGGCGGGGGCAGAAGCTGTTGCCTGGGGTCTGCGGTGCAGCGCCAGCTCCTGGGCTGCTGGGCCAGGCTCTGCTTCCTCCTGTAATGGCCTCTGAGTGGTTTCTAGGCAGGTCGCGCTCTTTGGGTAGATGTGATATCTTTTATTAGACCAACTGAGGAGTTGGGGAAAAGTTTTTTGCAAACTTGAAGTGGTTCCTGGCACCCGACTCAGCGGAGTCCGGCCCCTCCCGGCTGCCTGGGGTCACTTCCCTCCCGCGCCCATCCATGCCACGCGCAGGGTGGGGACGGCATCGGGGTGGGTCGGGTGCCAGGCCCTGCATGCCACTGCCCAGCAACTCCGGCTGTTCCCAGCAAACAAAACAAGCCCCGTGGCAACCGGACTGCAGCTGGGCGCGGTGACTCACGCAAGAGGGATCTCCTCCCTCGAGGAGTGGGGCAGGGGGCAGGGGGGGCCGGCCCGACCCAGCAACCCGGGGGCAGCTTTCTGGGTGACCCAGAGCACGGCGGGGTCGAGATGCAGGCAGGCTGGGGCACTTGGCGTGCTGGAGCATGTCACACGTGTGTCCTCGGCTGAGCACGGGGGGCGGGAAAGTCTGCTCCTTTTGCACACCCTCCCCAGGGGCTGAATGCCTCCGAGCCCAGCCCCCAGCCCTGCAATCCGGCTGGGAGGCAGCGGCGGTCATAGGGACTTGGAGGGACTGGGCAGAATGACCATATTTGCAGAATTACCGTATTTTCCAGTGTATCGGGCATGCCCCCCCAGTCTAACAGGAAGGTGCGTCTTATATACTGGAGCCGTATTACCTGCAGCAGAGCCAGAGCTCGGTCGCAGCCGGGTGGGAGACCCAGAGAGAGACGCCCAGGTGAGTTAGGTGCCAAAGTAGGTGCTGGGCATGGTCCCAGGGTTGGGCAGGGTCAGCCGAGGTCTCCTGCTTGCTCTGAAACGCTTCTGGCTGGAATAAAGGCGGCCGTTGCTGGAAGGAAATGCCTTGAATGCGTGATGGAGCAGGGTCCGGGCGTCCCCCGGCCGGCGCAGGCAACAGGGTGCATGCGATGGGGTCTCACGCAGCCGGGCTCTGCCCCATCCAGCTGGGCCTGGGAGGGCTGGAGCCAGCTGCCCCCCTCTCCTGGCTCAGCTCCCCCACCCAGGGGCTGCCAGGACCTCCCTTCTCTCCACCCAGGTGCTGTTGACATGAACCTTGTACTACCCCTTGCACCTGCGGCATTGTCCTGGGGGGGATTTAAAGACACAGGACCTTGTGCACGAACGTAGGGGAGCAGTGAGTGAGAGCAGGGGCTGGAGGTGAATGGGGGCAGTTCAGTTTTGGGGGAGAAGGGGCAAGTCCAGAGACCCCATGACGGCAGCCAGGCTGCACAGCCCCGGGGAGGGGGCGCCTGACCCTGCCTGGGGGTGCTGAGTAGCCAGGACAGGGTGGAGAGCTGTGGGGGGGGGTTGCTGGGAGGTTCCCCCCATGCATTCCCCTGCCCCCCTGCAGGCCTGGGAGCTCCCCCGGGGTCTGCTTCCCTCCACTGCAGGAACACGCTTGTGCACACGCATGCACACGTATGCACACGCACCTCCATGCATGCTCCCTGTTCCTGTCCTCTCCCTCCTGATTGTCACCCCTCTCCCCAGGCCTCAGTTATCCTTTCAGGACCCATTTGTGGGGACTGGTTCCGGGCTGTTCCTGTGGCAGCTGCGTGGCTTGCCCAGGCGCGGGCACTTTGGGACCCTCTGATTGCCCCAGGTGCACCCTCCCAGCATCCCTCACGGTCCCTGATTTAACTGTAGTGACTCTAGGACTCATGGCACAAGCTCTGGCTGTTTTTTGGCTCGTCGGTTATGATTTTTTCCAACTTTGATGTCTGATCCAGCCTGCGAGTGCTGCACTCCAGGAGCTAGGTTGGCTTTTGCCTGGATCGCTGATGGCACAGCATAGTGGTAGCCCGCCCGGTGTAATTTCTTGTTTCTCTTGAACTGGAGAAATGTTGGGGCTGTGTTGTATGTGGGGAGGTGTCACAGCACCCGCCACCCCCATTCAACATCCTAGATCCAGCCCTGGCTGCAACCCTAACCCTAACCCTAACCCTAACCCTAACCCTGTGCTTCCTGCTGCCTAGTTGCTCCAAGACATGGGTGCCAGCCCGGGCTCTGCCCTGCCCGGTGGGTCGCGGGGCCTGCAGGAAAGCTCTGGAGGAACAGGGTTCGGCCAAGGCAGGGGGATGGGAGCTGTGAGGAGGCCTCAGCTCTGCTTCCTGGTGCTGAGGTGACAGGCAGGGCCACGCTTGTGTCACGGAAGTGCAGAGACTGCGGGCAGGAAGGACAGGGAGGCCGTCGCAAGGGGCACCGGGCTGCCGGGTCGGGTGCGGAGGAGATGCCAATCAGGCTCCATGTCTGCATGCACGTGTCAGCATACCTGTGTGCCTGTGCTTGCACATGGGAGTGAGCCTGCCTGCGTGCACACGGCAGCGTGCCTGCGTATGCACATGCGAGCAAACACCTGTGTGCCTCCACGTGAGCATGTGTGCAAATGCCTACATGTGCTCATGTGAGCGTGTCTGTACATATGGAGGGGGTTGCACACGTGTGCACCCAAGTGCATGGATGGAAATCCAACCTCCTCCTGTGTGACGAGCTGGTCCCAGCCCCTGCCAGGGCAAGGGGAGCCACGCGCCAGCCCCAGGCTCAGCACCATCCCTCTGAGGGTCCCTCTGCCCTGTGCTGCAGTCACCGTGGGGCAGGAGTCAGTGGAAGGCCTGGTGCAGGAGCCAGGTGGGGGGCTGGGCCTCCCTGCCCCCGTCTCCTGGCCCCTGGGCTGCCCAGCTGCCAGGACACAGGGCCTGGCCCTAGTGGCGCGAGGCTCCGCCACGCTGAGTGCAGCTCCGGGGCCTCCCCGCTGAGGCCTGGAGCAGAGGCCCCAGCACTTCTGGGGCAGGCTCTGTCGGAAAGCGCAGGGCGCCCCATGACGCCAGCGGGGCTGGAAATAGGGCAGGGGGAGGGGCCCTTCCATGAAGCGGGGCCAGGCCGGGGCCGCGTGCAAGGAGCTCCCTGCGCGGGCAGCTTCCTGTGACAGCTGGAAACAGCAGAGCAAGCAGCAGCCGGGCAGGGGCAGGGGCAGGACTTGGGGGGCAGGAGTTAAGTGGGGGACAAGAGGGGCTGCCCTGCCTGATGCGCTGGGATAGCAGCTCCCCAGGGGCGGGGGTTGCACCCACTGGGCGCCCAGCAGGCCACGGTGGGTGGGGGAGCACTCCAATGCACCCCCCAACACAGGGGTGAAGCCCTTATCCCTACTGGGAAAGGCACAGATGGGTAAACTGAGGCACAGAGAAGGGCAGATTCACCTGGGGGCTCGGGATGGGCCCAGCCCCCCTGAGAGGCTATGTTCCCGGACATCCCCTCAGCTACGCCCGTCCTGTCTGCCTGCCTCCTGCCCCCAGGCTCCCTCCCTGTGCACAGCGAGGAGCCAGAGGGGCTTGTGGCCCAGCCAGGATTGGGTCCCTGGGGGATGGGAGCCGCGACACCTGGCATCACCAGCGCGTCCCAAAGAGCTTCCCAAACAGACCTGGGAGAAGGGGAAACTGAGGCATGGGGCAGGCGAGGGGAGGCGATCTGCCCAGGACGGCAGAGCTGGGGGGAGCCCAGGGTCCCCAAGCCAGGAGCAGGATCAATGGGGCTGGGGTCTGCCCTGCCGGGCCATAACCCGCTGTGGGGAGGGGGTCTGCATCCTGCCCTGGCTGGGGGGGCCGGCATTTCTATGCAGGCAGCAGGGAGGGAATCGCTCGACTTCACAACTCGTTGTCAGCTCCCGATTCTTGCTAATCTCTCTTCACTCTGTCGGTGTGAATGACCCCTTGTGCATTGAGGTGTCCTTCCTTACGCCCCGCTGCTGCCCACCAGCCTTCCTGCGGGCCTCGCTCCTCTCACACTGTCCCGCAGACCATGTCCGTCTGTCGCCACGAGCCTGCACTCCGGCGCGATGCGATTCACGACTGACGGCAACGCGCTGGAGGCACGGCCAAGACGCTCCCGACGGCCAGATGTCGTTTGGCGAGTCTGGGTTAGGTGACGGAGGTGTCTGGGATGGTTTGGGTGGGACAACCCTGCCTCAGGCCCCGCGCAGCCCCGGGCCGGGGTAGCCATGCTGGGGGTGCGTCAGGTCTGACGGCAGTTTTTTACTTAGCGTTTCGATGAGGGGTTATATAGGACAGTTTGGACAGGCCTGATCCTGCCCCGGGCCAGGCTTGGGCTAGGTGGGACCCCGGCAGCTCCCCACCAGCCTCATTTCTCTCCGATTTCTATGAAATAAGAGATGTGCTCATAAAACATCATTTTTTCCAGCATCGGTGTCTAGTTTGTTGTGTTTTCTTATGCTGTACATGTAACCGAGCACGTCAGGGTGGAGCTGGGAACTGGAGAAGGGGGCGTGCGGACGGCGGTGCAGCGCCCCATGTGAAACAGCCCCTACTTTTCTCCGGTTTGAAAGAAACCGGCCACTGGACCTACACGCCGCGGGCTGGGGGGGCGATGGGGGCAAGAACACCCCGAACTTCACGGCCAGGAGTTAACCACGGCGCGCGGGCGCTGGGAGAGGAGGCGGGGGGCCGGCGCCCCCGGGGAGCTCACCCCTGCCCAGTGGAGAGATGCGCAGGAAGGAAGTTGGTGACAGCGGTGGGGGGTCGCGGACGGGGGGGGGTGCACCTG